CTCCCACCCTGTCACCCAGTCATCTGGTTTCTATTCCCAGTGATTCTTGAGGTGGATTACTGACCTTCAGTGGGAATATTTAGATAAATTAGTTTCGAAGTGACAGTTGAGTACCCAATACTGTCTTGGAGTTTGGGAAGAAAGAGAGTGCTAGAGATAAATATTAGTATTATTCAGGTGATACACCCAATGGATATATTTTCTAAAGCATAGTATAGAGAGAACAAAGACTATAACTTTGAGCACATTAACAAGCAGCTTAATAGGAGGGAAGGATAGAAAAAGATAAGAGAAAAATTAGGATAAGAGTTGAAAAAGAAATGAAATAAATCACTGTTATGAAAAGTAAGAGAGCTGTTCAGCGATCCCAAATGCTAAGAGGTCATGCAGAATGAAGAATGAGAAAGGGCTTTGGGAGTGGAAGTTTATAATAAGCTGAGAGAAAAGCTTCAGCAGAGAAAGAGATAGGATGGGATTCACATTGTAAGAGATTAGGAAGACAATGGGATTTTTCTAATATACAAAGAGCTCTTACAAGCCAGTAAGAAAAAGATGACCAACCCAGTAAAAAAATTCACAAAGAACATGAGCAGGCAAAAAACTGAGGAGGAAATGCAATTGGGCAATAAACATATGAAAACAATGGTGCTGGAACAACTGGACATCTACATGAAAAAAAAAAGAATCTAGACACAGACCTTACACACCTCACAAAAATTAACCTAATATGGATCATAGACCTAAATATGAAACGCAAACCTCTACTACTCCTAGAAGAGAATATAGGAGAAAACCTAGATGACCTTGAGTATGCTGATGCCTTTTTAGATAAAACACCAAAGGCACGATCCATGAAGGAAATAATTGATAAGCTAGACTTCAATAAAATTAAAAACTTTTGCTCTAAAGACAATGTCAAGAGAATTAGAAGACAAGCCACAAACTGGGAGAAAATGTTTGCAAAAGACACATGATAAAAGACTGTTATCCAAAATATACAAAGAACACTTAAAACTCAGAAAGAAGAAAAACCACCCTATTGAAAAATGGGCCAAAGACCCTAACAGACACCTCACCAAAGAACATATATAGGTGGTAGTAAGCATATGAAAAGGTGTGACATATAATTTATCACCATGGAAATGAAAACTTAAAAAAATTAGATACTGGGGCAGCTGGGTGGTTCAGTCAGTTAAGCATCTGCCTTCAGCTCAGGTCATGATCCCAGGGTCCTGGAATCAAGTCCCACATGGGGTTCTCTGCTTGGCAGAGAATCTGCTTCTCCCTTTGCCCCTCTCCTTGCTTGTGTGCTCTCTCAATCTCTCTCTCTCTCAAATAAATAAATAAATAAATAAATAAAATCTTTTTAAAAAATGAGATACCATAACACATCTATGAGAATGGCCAAATCCAGAACACTAACACAAAATACTGGTAAGGACGTGGAAGAACACAAACTCTCGTACATTGCTGGTAGGAATGCAAAATGGCTCAACCAATTTCAAAGACAGCTGGGTAGTTTTTTTTTTTTTAAGATTTTATAATATATATGTTTAAAATTATAAGAATATAAATGTTACATATTTAATATATATTTAAGATTTTATTATAGATATAAGATGTGGTATATATATACAATGGAATATTACTCAGCAATCAAAAAAATGAAATCTTGCCATTTACAACAACGTGGATGGAACTAGAGGGTATTATGCTAAGCGAAATAACTCAGAGAAAGACAATTATCATATGATTTCACTCATATGTGGGATTTAAGAAACAAAACAGAGGAGCATAAGGGAAGGGAGGGAAAAATAAGATGAAATCAGAGAGGGAGACAAACCAGAAGAGACTCTTAATCATAGGAAACAAATTGAGGGTTGCTGGAGGGGAAGGGGGAGATGGGTTAACTGGGTGATGAGCACTAAGTAGTGCACATGATGTAATGAACACTGGGTGTTATAAACAGCTGATGAATTGCTGAAGTCTACCTATGAAACTAATACACAACGTGTTAATTGAATTTAAATAAAAATAAACTTCATAAATTACCTATTTAAAAAAAAGAAATCTCACTCCTTGGTATTTACCCAAAGGAGTTGAAAACTTATGTTCACACAAAAACCTGCACACAGATATTTATGGGAGCTTTATTCATAATTGCTAAAAGTTAGAAGCAACCAAGATGTCCTTTAGTAGGTGAATGGATAAAATAAACTGTGGTACATCTAGAGCATTGCATATTATTCAGTGCTAAAAAGAAATGAGCTATCAAGCCATGAAAACACATGAAGGATCCTTAAATGCATATCATTAAATGAAAGAAGCCAATCTGAAAAGGCTGCATACTATAGGATTCCAACTACATGATGTTCTGGAAAAGGCAAAACTACGGAGATTTTAGTATTAGTGGTTGCTGGGGATGGGAAGGCAGAGCACAGAGGATTTTTAGGGCAGTAACAGTGCTCTGTATAATGATGGATATATGCCATTATATGTTTGTCCAAACCTCTAGAATGTACAATACCGAGAGTGAACCTTAAGGTAAACTATGGATTTTGGGTGATTATGATAGGTAAATGTAGGTTCATTCTCAGTGAAATGTATACCATTTGGTGAGTGATGTTGATAATGGGGGAGGCTATGCATATGGGGTGCAGTAATATATGGGAAATCTCTGAATCTTACCAATTTTGATGTAAACCTAAACAACTCTTTTTAAATGATTTTATTTTTTTGAGAGAAAGGGAGCGCATGTGCAGGCAGTGGTGGGGACAGGGGCAGAGGGAGAGAGAAAGAGACTCTCAAGCACATGCTATCCTCAGCAAGGAGCCTGATGCGGGGCTCAATCCCACGACCCTGAAGTCATGACCTGAGCCAAAACCAAGAGTTGGTTGCTTAACCGACTGAGCCACCCCGGCATCCCTAAACCCTAGCATACTCTTGATACTATTTGGTATCTTTTTGAAGAGTAACTTGGCAATATCTATTCAAGTTAAAATGTTCTTAGCTCTTGACTTTGCGATTCCATTTTTAAGAATATATAAAAATAATTTTCACAAACAGGCAAAGATGTGTGCAGCAGGATTTATTACAGCTTTACTTATAATAATAAATGTTGGAAATAACCCTGATGCCCCCTGGTAGTTACTAATTAAATGTTGGACAATGGAATACTCTACAGTGGTTAAAAATTACATTAATGCTATATGAGCTGCCATGGAAAAAGTTACAGTAAATTGAAAAAGATTATGTAGTATTAGCTTGCTTTCATTTTATTTTTTTATTTTTATTTATTTTTTAAAGATTTTATTTATTTTTTGTCAGAGTGAGGGACAGCGAAAGAGGGAACACAAGCAGGGGGAGTGGGAGAGGGAGAAGCAGGCTTCCTGCCAAGCAGGGAGCCCAATACGGACAGAAAAAAAATGGAGATACGTACATCAAAGTCTTAATTATTTTGGTGAAGTAGGATTACAAGAGATTTTCACATTCTATAGCAATTGTTAATTCACAATATTCCATTGGATTCTTGTGAGTATTAAATGAGTTAATATGTCATAAGGCAATTAAAATGGTGGAACATAGCACATAGAAGCTATTACATAAATATTGTTACACTATGTTAAATATTTTTGAAATACTTTGATTTTTTTTACAACAGATGTGTATTATTTTTTAAGGCAGAAAAAAATGAGGTGGCAAAAATGCAGTGTTTGAGATTTTTAAACATGAAAAATTAAAAATGAGAGTTGGAGGATGCTAATGGGTCCCCTATGCATATTTGAAAGAAGTAGCTAGTTGAAAAGGTAAGGTTGATAATGACAAGGACCAGACAGAAGAGAATGAGAAACTATAATGATAAAGTCAACTCATATTTAATGAATGTTTATAGTGGACCAGGTGCTCCAATTGCTTTGGAGCCCACAAGGAAAAAAAGTTAATCTGGAGAGGAGGAACAATCTTCCTTCGAAGATTAGAACAAAAACTTTAACCTCAACTCTTCTAAAATTATATGCTAAATTTGGTGGACAAATGCATTTTTTAAATATCCAAGACAAGATCCATAACTTCCAGCAGATTTCTAAGAGTGTGTGAGCCCTGTCTTTCAAAGGTAGAAGAATCAAAGGATGAGATCGGTTGCAAAAAGAACTATTTTGAGAAAATGAGAGGGCTTTTGCCAGATACAGGATCCTTCTTTATATTAGTTAAGAAGGATCAGAGATTCCCTTTAAGGGCAGTGAAATTTAGTGATTATGACATTCCCAAGTTGTGATAGTTGATTCATCTTCCTCCCTCCATAATAGACGTCTAATGGCAGAGCGAATTTATACCGCTCAGACTCAGCGTTTAGTTTTCGCAGATCAACGAGCTCACCCAGAATCTTTTCTTTCCACTTCCTCGAAGTCAATCCAAATTTTTCCCAAACATCTTTTCAAGGAAGCCTTTGATAAATCTGTTTGGATGCTAGATCTGGCTCCTATCAACTTTTGGTGAATAGTTTAATGCCTCTGATTCAGTTTTCTTGCATTTGTCAATTAGCATTGAATGATTTCAATTTCTTACGAGGATCAAACGAGTTATCTGTGAAAACCTCTTGCAAAGTTTTGGCAAATATCAGTGCTATGCAATTTTTAGAATATATTCAGAAAAATTTTTAAGTTTTCTGAAGAATTGGTGTCCTGCGCAGTCTCGCCCCCCCAAATAATGAAAGTGGGTGGGCGCTCCTCCCGGATTGAGGCTACGTCTTTCGCTCCTTTTGTCTTTTAGTCGGACCAGAACTGTCATGGCGCCTTCAAGAAGAGAGGGAAGGCCTTCCTTTCGCCCAGCAGAATCATCGGGGGCACCTGGGCTGGACGGAGGGATGGACAGAGAGACCAGCCCCAGTTGAGACCGAACACACCGAAGGCTCCGAAAGGTCTCCGCCGGACAGGCTCAAGGGGAGGAGACCGGGTTGAAGACTAGGCCACCGAGCGACCGTCTTCCCGGGGCACCGCCCATCTTGACCGCCTCATCCAATGGAAACCCAACGGCAGTGCGGCACCGCCCATCTGTTGGTCGGGACGCCGCGAGGGCGGGGCCCGCAGTTCGGTTGCGCTGCGGAGCGCAGCTGTGAGGGAGTCTCTCTGGTCCGCGGCCCCGAACCCGAGCTGGAGCTGAAGCGCAGGCTGCGGGGAGCGGAGTCAGGAGGTGAGCGCCGAGGGAAATGAGCGGGAGGAAGGGGTTCGGCGACAGGACGGAAAGGTCGGCCTCCGCGGCCCGGGGTGCTGGGACCCCGGCAGGCGGGTGTCTGGTGGCGGCTCTGCTCGCTC